ATATATTTGTGTATTTGTTTTGTGTTTTGTATTTATTTATGTTTCTGTATTTCTTTCTTCCTAGTTTTGTTTAGGTTCGAACTTTCGTTTCTTAAAGCGCTACAGCACGATAGAGCCAGAACCAAGTCGGGCAGCAAAGGAAAAAAGCACTATCAGTCCTCGTTCCACAATCCAATTTTAAATACTGTACTACTCCTATTACACACATCTTGGCCAATTTGGGGGAAGTTCCTTGCAATAATAACCTTTGCATGACTAACTTCATACGTCAGGTCATTTATCACACAAAATTCTCTATTTATAAGTACTGTTATTTCCAAAATTGCATTTTTATTCTCTACATTAACACAAAACTAATTTATGGCATCAAAAATGCTAATGGGCAGTTTGCCCAAATTAATAGAAATGATTCTTAATAATTTAGAGAATGATTTTTATTCCTTATACTCATGTGCACTTGTGAGTCGACATTAGTACAAAATGTCAATTCCTATTCTTTGGCAAGATCCATTTTCATTTGATCGAAAACTGTTATTTATTTCTACATATTTTTCATCTCTTAATGATGACAAAAAATTCATTTTTAAAAACTATGGGATTAATCTAAAATTTTCCAAAACACTATTTAATTATGCAAAATTTCTTAAAGTTCTTGATTTATATTGTCTAGAAAAAATGACTAAAAGGTGGCTCCAACTTCAGCATATTAGTGTGGTATCGCTTCACAACATCCTATAGATAAATCTGATAAATCCTGATACACATTTATATATTCTTATGACCTATTGATGTATCACATAACTAATTTATTATTCAAATTATTTATTGAGAGTGGCACCTCTTTGTTCAAATTACTGTTAAATCCTTCTAAGTATACTAAAATTAATCCAGAGATCTTCAACTCTTTAGAACAAATTAGAACTCTGCTTAGGGGTCATTCATCAGATACTGTTAAGTGGCCATCTCAGCCCAAATTGGCTTTATTTGTAGATCGTATATATATGAACATATTACATCATCACTGACTATTACTATAAAAATCTCAATTTCCAACCTCTTTAATCTAGCCATTTTAAGCAGAGATTTAAAATGAATCTAAGAAACACGCAATCCTATATCAACACAAGAAGAAACAAACAGTCTACCCTTTGATTTATCATCAATAGTAGAAGAACTTGAAAGAAAACAAAAACAGAAAGAGCAAGAATAAAATAGATCAGATGTGTACTTACAGAACAATTTAGAAAGAATTGTTTTTTCATTACTGTGGAAGCAAGAAAATATTTTAGAAGCAAGTAACTCAGAAACAGAAAGAGAAGGATAAAGTATTAGAGAGACAGAACCAAAGAGATTATATATTTCCCAAAAGGAATCATAAAAGAAGAAAAGTGAAAATTATTATCTTCAGCCAAGAGGATTGTGAAAATTACAGACTCAATGTGTTTTTATCTAAGAAAACAGTAACAAGTATATTAGCAAGAAACCCAGAACCTAAAGAGGTTTTCTAAGACCACAAAACATAGACCCAGAATTTGTAAAAATTTTTTCACACAAAGCTAAGAAAGGCAACAGAGAATTAGAGTTTTACCAAAAAGGGTTTTTAGTAGCAGAAAAACCTTTGCTAGCAGCTTTAATATTATTAGACATTGTTCAAGAGTCTGGGATTCCTAACTATTTCATTAATCCAGAACTAAAAAATAAGTTAATAAGTAGAATAGAAGGCTCTATCTACTTGTTACAACATGAAATCAAATGTTCCAGAGTTTACAGAAGACAGAACTTGGCTCAATTTGCAAATTAGAACAAAAACTCATTAATACTTGCAAATCAATCGATGACAAAGAAGATAGTAGTCAGTATTTGGGTTCAAATTTAAGGAAATCATCTAACAGAAGTCAAAATTGCAAAAAATAATAGTAGAGTAGCAAAAACTAAGTTTAAACTGAAGCACAAGCTTAAAATCAAGGAT